TGACGTCGCCATCCCTTGGCTCAGGGCTTGGTGGGGGAGGAATGACCGAACGGCTAGCTGATGTCAGCTTCCTTACAGTCCGTAAAGAAGTCGTTGAGTTCATGTCTACCGGACTGAGTGTCCTGCGATGCAATGGCTGAAGGCCAAGCAAGATATGCAGAAAGAATATGCAGATGGATGAAGCAGAAGAAATAGGGGAAACTTTGAGGTTTGAGACCTGGGTATAGCAAATGCTAAAAACCTTCTAGTACAGGCAGCGTCTGCTGACTTAAAGACAAAGCTACGGCCACGGTTTATCGAACCTTGTAAGGTCGCGGCCAATTGAGGCCTTGAGTATACGCTGAACCTTCCGAAAAGGATGCGCACCCACCCGGTGTTCTTTGTGGGCTTGCTTAAGCCGTACCGGAATCCGGCGCAAGTGAGCGCAGAAGCGTTGGCACCGGAATGGCGTGCAAAGGCGCTCGACGACTCAGAAGTTGAACCAGCAACTGGTTCTGAGCACGGAGTGCAACAATTTCCGTTTCCAGCGGCGCAAGTCGCTCCACCGTCGCACAAAGTGATTTAATTGTCTGCTCGACGGCTGGGAGCCGCTCGGATAGAGCGCAATAGTCCTCAACGCGAGGCATTTGGTGAACAAAGTGCTCCGGGCTCTCGAGGTCATCCGTACAGCGGTAGACGACATCGGAGAGATGCTCGGCAGAATGCCGATGACAACGAACTTTGTCCATCAACGCTCGAAGAGCATCTCGAATTACCGAACAGCGATCGACCAAGTCGTCATCATCCACCGCCTTTTCTCGAAGAGAATGGTTGCATCCACTATAACATTGAACGCCTTGAGGGTCGACGTCGTCGACGCAACTAAAACAATTAAATACAGTTTGTTTTTGAACAGAAGTTTTAGTTTGTCTTAATAAGGCTTTAGTACGTAGAAGTAGCCGATTGCGATCCGCTACACTTGTACTGGTTCTTTAAAAGAACGTGCGGGCGGTGACCTTAGCTTACTTTCCTCCAAGCAAAGAGCTTCGACACCACGCTGCACTCTCCATCCTTACCCTCGAATGTCGAAACGCTCACCGTAACGGGGTTACATATACCCTGGTAACAGGGGTATGTGTCACACCAGATGGGCATGGTGTGACAATACCCAAACAACAATACGGTACGGGGCTGGATAGCCAGTAGTTATACATGTATTTAGATTTTACTATGCATATTTAGGAAAATCTATGCATTTAAAGTTTGGCGGCTTTGCCGCAGATAAAAATAAATAAAGTCATTTTTTGAAATTAAACCGAAGAGTTAATTAGCCTTGGGTTAAGGCTATAATTACTCTTGAGGTAAGCAGATTGCGATTCGCTAAACTCGTACTTGTTCTGAGTATAGAACGAGAGTTCGGTGACCTAACTTACGCTTCCTCAAAGCGCAAAGCTACGGCAGCCCCGCTGCACTCACCATGAGCGGCCTGGGTCGGATGGAGTCATCCGCCGTCGACGGTGGTGTCATGGACAAAGTCGACGCTGACAGCTACTGCTGTAGGTGCTTTAACAGAGCATTTTCATAATTTGAAGACGCCTCTAGACTTTGCGAAACAAGGTGTTCCATGCCCTAAGGGCCAAGCAGGGACCTATTAAGCCCGCCTACATGCTCTGAGACATATAGGAGTTTTGCAACATCCTCACAGAGGATCATGTGTAACGACTCAGGCGTAGATTGACTACGAGTTCTACCAAGTGCATCGGGGCTGCTGAAGCTCTTTGCTTAGAGAAAGCTAAGCTAAGCTTACTTTCTTTACAAGAACCACTACGAGTGTAGCAGATCGCAATCCGCTACCTCCAATAGTACTTAAGACCTTAACCAAGGTAAAGACGCTCTACCGTTAGAAATTGAAATTGTTTTAATTGTTTTAGTTGCGGCAGAGCTGAAACCTTAGGTTTATTTAATTTATATAGTAATATCTCATTAAATAATGAAAGTCTAATTAATATGCATCACTACTGCTTCTTGTTACGGAAAGCCACACCATTGTGTGATTACACCAACTTGTGCAATTCACACCATGTACGACCACACCATCTTGTGTGACCCCTTTCAAACAGTGTAATCCCGTTACAAAAATAGACAAGGCGTCAATCTTCAATGGTGAATTTTATTCGCTCAAGACAAAGAATAAGGTGCAAAGATAAGGTGTAACAAACGATGCAACGATGAGAGGAGAATTTATAGAGCCTGCGCAAGACTCGTGTATGACAGAGCAAATAGATACATGACGAATATAATTGAGTGTCTCACAGTGATACTACCGGAAAACGAGGGACGAGGACGTAAATGCATAGGATAACATGAGACAACCAAGTTGAAGCCATCAAAAAGATGATAATAATTTTGACGCCAAATAAATGATGTTAGCATGCAATTTGTGGATACCAGGTTGCTGGTGTCAAGCGACAAGAATGCATTTATAATAGTGATCGACAAGCTGACGAAAGTTCCAAATACGAACGACGTCAACTACAGCAGATGCCACAAACAGCAAAACATTTTTGAAATTATGCAGTAAGACATCATGGAGTGCCGACTATGATCATAACTGATCGAGAGCTGAAATTTACTTTGAACATTTGGAGAGCGTGGAGGAAAGTCATAAGAACGCAACAATGCATGACTTCAACGGTCAAGCACGAAGAAAGCGCAACGGAACGCCAAACTGGACACTTATAGACTCATCACGCTGCAATTTTACGCATCTTTAAAAAGATTGGTCGGAGCAACAAATCAATATGCTCGCCAGGTACTAGTATAGCCGTCCTTTATATTTAAACTTGCTAATTGGACGAGAACTAGCGAATCCATTGCTAGGATGCATGACTGCGACCGCAAAACACCATTCAATGGCAATATATCATTGTAAAGGCTCATGCTCGTACTATGGTAAGACGATATCGAATATGAAGCTCAATCTCGGAGGTCTGGGGCTACAAGCAACAAGAAATATACCTTGTAACGCGCACAGCTCGTACAGATAAATGAATCACCTGACGGCTCGACAACTACTCAAAGCAGAAGCATATACAAGATCTGGCAAGACGCAATTTCGCTTTCAATGCCATATATCAAACAACCGTTGTTAGAGCTTGTCGCTAATAGGTACAATCCAGTCGTGTACGACAGGATCGGGCAAAATTTGCACGCACATCAATAGAGCAAGCGTTCCAGTCGCGCAATTGAGCTAAGAGACAGAAGACTTGGAAGAGGCGATCAGAAGTGCTACGAGAAGATTACAAGGACAGTCTAAATGCGAAAGGTGGATTAGCCTAAAGTAATAATTCAAAGTTAGGGCCAAGGGCTGGGCTATAGAAGACGATATGGATTTTGCGTTAACGGTATGCGATACATAGCTTCATGAAAGGGACATGATACTTGTCTGTGAATCAAATGGACATTTGGTGAACGACTTTAAGACTACAGCAGCAAATATAGCGATCGACGGATGAGCGATCAAGGTGCTGAAAGCAGTGAGCGTGATGTTGGTAACATTGGCGCTGCGCAAATTTGTTTTTGATCAGTGAACGTTGGTTGCCGCTTTTACAGTGCGACTATCGGGCGTACGTACTTGTAATCTCTGGGTCAGATTTCTGAAAGCCACGGGACATATGCACACAGCGAGTCGTGGCCAGAATGAGCGAAAAAAATGGTTTCCGATGTGGAGAGGTCTAAGAACATGATCATACTTGTGTTAGGAACCTGCAGAATCAGGTATGTATATATCGGCTTGAAAAAACAATGAAAAGGTAGTGAAACAGGATATGCAGTCTGAGTCATTCGGCGATGGTGAAGGATAGTTAAGCATTGCTTTGCTTGGTGAGGATACAGAGATAGCAAGACAATTTAGTGATCCGCGTCATCAGGCATGCAATGGAAAAGCAAGCAATATGCATCGCATTAGTGCACATGGTGCAAAGCATGACATTTGCGTGTGGACTACCGTCAGTTTCGTATGAGTCGCGGTAAATTGCGCGGTCTGGATGCTAAATCGGAGGTTTATGAAAGCGACTACATATAAAATTAGTCGCCGTTGTAGATGCTCACGAAAAGGGTATCTGGTCTAGGAAAAATTGTTGTCGTTGCGTCGCCGTGAAGGTTGCATCTCGATGCCAGAAGTGAGCTGTTGGGTAGATCTATCATCAGCTATATCATCAGGAATAGCGATGAGGGGTAGGATTTCGATAGTGGTCAGTGGTCGTAAACCAATTTGTATGGATTGTTGAGACGTTAACTGACGAGATAATTCACCATCTAAATCGGGCATTTTTTGAAAACGGAAGGACTGCACAAGTTACGTGGAGGATTGCAAGTGAGAAACAGTCAGTTAAAAATTCCAAATCGAGGCTGATGATGTTTTTGACTGTTACGCCAACTGGCGGGTTAGGATGATGTTTTCTGACTGTAATGCCGGGTGACTTTGTCGATTCATAAGCTCTGCTTATTACATTAGAGCTCACTCCTTTATTATCACAGCACTTTACAGATAATAGTCAACCAATTTCATTCTTAGACATCATTAAATGGTTTGGAAATGTCCTCAAAATCAGATTTATATTCAAGCTTTCTGAAACTACCAGGTGAGCAATATAGTTGAGTGATTAGAACCAAGGGTAGCGACTAGATTTTGACAGGTGGTTTACTAGTCAGAGACTAAAGATCGAATGATCGAATTGGAAAGTATACCAACCCGCAATGATTCCAGCATTGAATTGTTTGTGAGGATTATAAATGGAGTCAGCATTGCTGATGTTAGCCTATTAGCAGTCTCTCTGCAGTACAAATTATATCGAAGAACGTATTGTCTCTTGGCTGCTTCGCATCTCATTCAACAATATTTGTACTTTTTCGACTGTGTGTACCACATCCTCTGGAACGTTTGCGTGGTCCAGTGACACAACAGCTCTAAATTAAGCGCCGGTCTCTCACAGGGAATTCTCAGTAAAGTTACTATATCTATGAGTCGAACCAAGGTGCGCTAAACATGCGTACTCCTTTCATCTTGTGCTCTAATTCCTTCGCACGCGTCCCAGACATGCGTCGTGCTTACCTCCTCGATGGTCTCGATTCCCGAGCAAAAATACGAAATTGGGCACCTTAAGCAGCTACTGGATGGCAACAAGATCACATACATGGAAGTGGACTGCAGTCTTGAGGAGAATCGTGAGACACGCAACCGCTATTTTGAAGTCAGCGGTATCCGCGCGAATTATCCGCAGGTTTTTTTGCAGGACGCAGAAGGCACGAATATAAAGTATATCGGATCCTTCAAGGAGATTCAGGTGCGTCAGCCAAGAATGGTAAAGTGAGCATGTCTCTTAGTCATTATCTTCTGTGTATCTGCGCTTATCACAGGAACTCAACGAGATGAACGACGTGCCATCCGAACTTTTGAAGGCCAATAACATTCCAACGCTCAGTAGCGTATTCGCCGGTACGACTCATTTTATTCGTAGAATTGGCCTTTATCATTCAATTCTTATAATCGCTTCGTAATACTGATGGTAGACGTGTTGCGACGATCATAAACCAAGTTGTGGCTGCAGAATCCATTAATTTAAGACAGTAGAGTTATTGAAAGCGTCAAATTGCGCTAGGTAGCTGTCTTTACATCCAGAGAAAACATCATACTTGATTTGTTTTAGAGGCGACATACGTTTCACTGATAGTAATCTTATATACATCGTTCACTATCTGAAGAAACAGTCCGAGGATTACTTCATCCATAGATTTGTGTGAGTAACGTTATGAAATGAGGACGCGACGTAAAGAACGGAGATAGATGTCAGATTGTGAGTCAGTTTCTGTGGACGCTTGTGGTGTTAAGTAATATTCGTTATGTTACACGCTGCTCTACTGCTACTCATGAAGGAGAAAGACATTCTCCAAAGCTACGAGCTACCTGTATGGGTCACTGCCCGTTTAGGCGACCGATAGTCGGTCTAGGCTCCTCTTCACCTTTCGTCTACACAGTCGTCATAAGACATCGCAGCACATTTGCGACCTTCGTAGGATCCTCAGCAAAACGCTCCAGGACTTTTTCGCAAATAGGCGACAGGTTCAGTTGGCGAATCTCTTCTGCGATCTTGCCCTTGGCAAACGTGATGTGCGAAGTCATTTGGAATGACAACAATTCATTGGTGCCTCCAAAGTACGGCGCAAGTTCGGCGAACGGAGCAGTCAGTGGCACGGTCTTAGCTGCATCCTTTCTCAAACTCACTTGTACTTGCCAATTGACCAAACATTTGTCTGTTGAGTTGTGTTTCCACTGCACTGTGTACTCCTTTATTTCATACTTGGCAAAGACGCTCGCACTTGATTTCTTACTAGCGACAATGGCTGCCAAACCAGCGACGCACGTAGCGCTAGTACCATACAAAATCTCAGCTTCGTTCGTCCAAATATCACGAGCGCATGACTCGAATGTAGCACCATCAGTTTCATTGTACGCGCGGATGTATGAAAACAATGTTGTGTTTTGTTGCTTCCGAACATCATTCAACTGAACTTCAGAAAGCGGCTCAACTTTGACGCCGCAATCAGTGCGTGCCATTTTTGTCTTTAGCATACCGTTTTCTGCCTCAAGCTCTGCAGTACGATCCTCCAAGAAATTCAGTCGATCTTGTTTGCGCTTACGACACTTGCGAACACGCTCGCGATTCTTCATACGACGACGTTCGTCCAAATCCTCTTGGTCTGACGCACGGTCTGAGTTCGGCGTTACACTGAGACGCGGATTCGTGGGTTGCTGAAGCGCGGGACGGTTCATATAGTCGTACATGTTCATATTCATGCTTGGATGAGGTATTTGTCCCGGGTGATGCGAGCTATGATTCATGTGTTGAGTCTGGTGATGTATCTGTTGCATTTGCTGAAGGTGTGAATGTGATGGAGGTTGCTGCTCTTGCTTGTAATGTTCAGTCATGGCCATTTTAGGAGGACTGTTATTCGAAAAGGCTCCAGGGAAGCGCATGGGTATTTTAGCACCAGAGACATCCTTAGGAGTGTATCCAGAGGGTGAGATCTTGTTGTTACTAGCATCGACACCATTACGTAAAAAGACATTGGAACTCTCATTTGGTGGGGCATTAGGTGCTTGGCTCAAACCAGCGACATTAATGCGCGGCGTGAACCCAGTCGTAAAGCGAGGCGTGAAGCCCGTGCGCGGAGTCAAGCCCGTGCTAAAGACACGGGGCGTGAGTCCAGTCTTGAAAGTACCGACGGGTCCACAGAAGTCGCGTAGGTCTTCCATGCCAAAAGTTCGCGGGCTGAGGCTGATAGGTTTAGGCAGTCCAGCAACTGAGTGACCAACGTCACCATTAAGATAGCCAGTGTTTGTGGAGAGGTTGACACCATGGCTACCAGGTACATTAGGTAGTCCTAGTTCCTCGCGCGCAGAGTGAAGGCCCATTGACATGACCGTACGTGTGTGGAAAGGTGGAACGGCTGAACTCAGAAGCTGAGAGCACACGCTACTTTTTGATTAGGAGACGGGGGGACGAGCTGAACGTGGGTGTAGGATATGAACGTCGCTGCGTATCAAGTTCGAGGACCGTACGTAACAATCGATCGTGGACGCGTAGTGTCTTGGTGTCAGCGTAGTGGGGACGCTGCACGTTACACGTAGGGGGCAAAAAAAATTATGTAATGATGGGAGTCTGTGCTCTGCGCTGCGCTGTGCTGCTTTTTCTCTCTGGCTCCCGTTGGGTTGTCTGTTGTTGTCAAATTGAAAGAATCGAGTCGTAATAGTGGAAGGTTTACTTGACCAGTTTAACACTACGGGAGAGCCTATCGAATATCACATGATTAGCCTGTCGCACAGCTTTTGTTCGGGGAGAGACGGTCGCCAGGCGATGCCCAACCTCGGGCCGCAACGACTGAGGCGACTCGCCAAGGCTGGGCATATGGGTTAAGAGCCGGACCACGACTTGAGCGGCACGCTCAAATTGGAAAAGACTCCGACTGGTACAGTATCATTCCATTGAGCGCCGTGCTGGCCTGAGGTGTTACATGTATCATATCTTGCTAGCACATCCGCAGAAAAATGCTACAAGAGGGTCGGGCAGTAATGAAAGGTTATACCTGACGCAGAAGACTATAGAGGTACAATCTATGACCTGTAGCACGCCAGCGTGGCAGATGTTTGCGGTGCAGTATCTAATAGGGCTGGCGTACCATTTCTTGTCGACTGCTTATGATCTTCTGAGTAATATAGATACTCGATTGGTCAAAATCATGTCATGATGTGAAATGTTAAATTGGCAAAGTCTGGCCATAAACTTCATTCGGTGAAACCCAGCCCCTCTCTTACACCATTGGACTGTTTCGTTAGACCAAAGCCTAACGAAAAGGGCTACAAAGCAGGCTTGACAGCGGGCCATGGACCAACCCTACTAAAGCGCCAGCAGTACAGTAGTAGTGGCTTAAACTCACCCACTGATTGTGCTGCAACGACAGCTGGACAACAGCTGAGATTTGAATATTATCCAAAATTATAGGGCATCTCAGCGAGAAGGAAAAATGAACGTGCTATTATTATAAATGTCAATTATTGCAGTCGCATGTGATATCGTAAGCGCCTCAGTGTATTATCATTCATATGTCTATATGTATATGATACGACCGTTAATTTATAAGAAATTTCTTGAACACAACAACACACACTGTTGAAGCAGGGTAGACTTGTGCGACATAGAGCATGGTAAAATCCGATTCGATTCAGAATTGCATGGCGGGAATTTTCCCTTTACAACGTCGTGTCGCCACAGCATTCAATAAAAGATGTCAAACGGACGCTTCTATTTTTAATAAATAGGCCTGGCAAAGCCAGCATGAAATATTATGCTATCATGCGAATAAAATGTACTCTGATGTGAGCGATTGCTGCTTTAATGCTTTGAAGCTCCAAGATCAACTTGTTATTCGTTACATCGACAATGAATCAAATCCCTGTTGAATTTGCCAGGACTTTCCTCCTTTTCAGAGTGGATACGAATTTAGCAGTTCGCTGATACTGCGACATAACCTAGCCAGCCACTGCTGTGATTGTTGGTCGAGATGAAGTGATAATCTCCTGTGGTGAGCCACGTTACGACGTTTACTTTGCAATCTTACTCACGATCATTCCCTTCTCGCGAGTTAGTACAGCTCGTAAACAATTTACGTGATAGCGCAATCGAAAGAAGTGACTTCTTACCCCATCATCTATGGTCTTCTTTATAGGATAATTAGAACCTTTGTATGGTGTATTAACACATAACAATACATCATAGAAACCTCGTTCATAGAATCGAAAAGCTCCGCAGTATCAAACTCAACGCCTGATAGGGCTGTCAGCATCTGCTATACATGCTTTAGCAAGACCACAAGCGAAATCAGCTTGATTTTGTTGCAAAATAAGCTGTAGAAAACCTCTGGCAAGTAGTCGCAACTTCCAGCTTACCAATCAAGCATTTAGCAGATGCCATAACGGAAAGTGATACGAATTTTTCTCGTCCCCTCGAACTACTCTCACAAGTGTTACTTAGGTAAAGGCATATGTCTATGAAACGTCTCTGAATTATGAACAAGTATCCAGAAATGAGAATCGAAAGATCATTTTTCTGATCTATAGACACAATAAACACACTACATATAATCTGTCACAACCAACAAACGAAAGCATCCCTTATCTATTAAAAATATAGGCTAATGGTGTCGAGGTTTCCATACCTTTACATGACCTCACTTGTGTTACCTTCTTCTTCACATATGCTTTTTTGGCAGCATGGATAGTCGTGAGACCAGCCTTAACTCTAGATTCGATATTCATGATGAATCTCATGCATACGTCGTGAATGCAGGAGCAGGGCTGTCGCAAAATTCTGTCAATGTTAAGACGATGATACGATTGACCGGTGGTCTGATACTCTTTTTTACGTTTCTTAAGCTACTTTTTGGCTACATTTAATTTTGTGTACTTGTAACATCGTCCTAATTGTCGTTCGAAAAAGTATATGTCTGTGATACACGCGCCTCGTGCAGTGTTTTCAAGTGATGACTCTCATAACATTCGGACAGACGATGTGTAATGTACTTTGCAATAACGGTTGCAGAAGAAACGATTAGTTAGCAAAAATATGTTCAGTATTTATTCCATATAGTTCTTAAATACGCGTTCTTGAAGAACCTTTTAAATATGCAGTTCCAAACTCTGTGTGTACTGTAAACCAATTTGGCGATCATCAGCGTGTGACCTTTTCTGCAACGGGAATACCGTGCATTTCACACAGCGAAAGCTTTGACTCAATGAGTCCGCAGTAACTAGCACGCAGATGACACTCCACCGAGCAGTGGAACTGAACCCCTATTTTCATAATTGACATTAAGCTTGTGTAATCTAAGCCTTACACATATGTATGAGCTACTATATACGGTACAATTGTTTGAAACGCACAGTGAGCTTTGATGTGATAGTGAATGTTGTTGGAAACCGAAATGACGGTGTTAACTAAAATGATGGAGCTCGAAAAGAAGAGTATGTGATGCACGTGGGCTGCTGGCTGCGCGTCAGAAGATATGTTATAGGAGTGAGTAAATAAGGCGAATATTTTTATAATTTGTCTCTGATCCATAATATACGTACTCTCGATACATCTGGACACTTGTTATGGACAAGGCTCTCCGTCCCGCTTATGGTGGAAAAGAGCGAACCCAACTTGCTTTGGTCACTTAGAGCCAAAGATTCGTCAATGCTGATCGTACAGCAGCCCCATTGCATTCGATAGCATTTGTAGTCACCCACGAACGAGCCTTGAAAGGACTATTATTTCGCGATGATGAAACATACAATGTTCGATTACCCGTCCCGAAAATCTTATGACTATTGTGGGTCCCGATGAAACCAACAGACTGGTCGCTAATGGGCCGGATGCAGTAAGTGAATAGGAGCGCTCAACAGTTATGTCAATGCATTGGTGCGGCACGTCCATTAGTACCCAACTGGGCCAAGGAAAGAGAACAGATGTTATCCACTGTAAAGCCGCTGATGTTGAGCCACCAGGCTTTAGGCCGAAACGGATACACACTCTCTCTCTCTGGGTGAACAACAAATGAGATTACCACAAATTTGGCCATGCTCCAAACGAGCAACAGCGCATCGCATCTGCGGTATTCAAGCATGCTGAACGTGGTGCAGCTCCGGACAGTACGTCCGGGAAGCACATTTCAAGCCCTCGGCAACAGGGCACCGCACACCGCGCCCGCCACGGGCGACAGATTTCCTCGACGAGGATTCGGAGGAAAACGACTACGAGTAGGATACTCCTTTACCAGGATGTGAAGAAGAGGAGCCCTTTCGAGATAATAGGTATTGACGTACAATGTTTTGGTAAAAGAGGTACTTTTAACGTTGGACAAATTGAAGCAACATATATTGCAGGTATTCGCAGCTCCTAAACAGGCATATCAGTTGCGCTTGAATTCCGTATAGGAAGGCAAGAACTGATTGGCTAGATGATACATTAATTTTTACTGCAACGGCGTCTGACCTCTCTCATAGGCGGTAGCGGTGGTATTCTTCATTGGACGGTCCTTGAACGATTGCAGCTTGCACCCAGATCCTCCGCGCTTTCTATATCTGAGTTGAGGAAGCGTCTGGCTTTGCAGTCTATGCGGAGTAAGACTTTCGTGTCGCGAGGCCGACTGGGGTGCTGGAAATGTAAGCTCTACAAGTAAAACAAGGGCGATGGAAATTAGCCATACTGAGGAGGAAGATATAAAATTTGTATCTGATAAGCGACTTCGCAATACTCCCGAATTTGCATCGTGGCAGGACAAAACATCTGCGCCTTGTGTGCATCTAAGCGCTTAACTGAGAAGTACGAAGGGTCGGGCTCACATGCAAGAGAGTAAAACAAGCATTTACAAAAATGACAACCTCAAATAGACCACGTGCACCTGCTGAGATAAAGATATATCATACTGTAACTTACATAGGTCGCGTACCAATCCATCAATAAATCTATCTAGGACCGGTAAGACTCGCAGCTATTTGTTGTTATTTGCTGATATCAGCGCATCGAGCTCTGTGAAACCGTTGAAATTCTGATGTATGCAGAATCGTCGTGCAATTACGTAAGAAACGCGACTGTCAAAATGGTCGATAGTACGTGGAAGCATATACGATTCCATATTTGGATAAGCAGAGCTTTATGTGCCTTGCTACTAGGGCATGAATACAAGTGTCAAAAAGTTTTAATCTACAACTGTCGCGCGAATAATTTGATAGCGCGAAGCATTCTCTCATCCTGAACATGGGCTCTCGATACGATCTCACTTTAGGTATGGCGTGACTGGAAAGTCACGAGCATTCGAAATGAGGTTGTAGGGCAGATTTGGCGGTTAGTCGCCCAATGTAATTGTATATTGCTTTCTCTAGAGTGTATATCGCTTAAGACAAGAAACTAAAAGTGTATGGCGGATTCCTAGAGTGTATCGTTAGCGAGACAATTAGACCAGCTATAATATTTTTTCTCCTGTGCTAGCCCGACGGATAGTGAGCGCTAATATGTGTTGCATTCTGTATGTCAGAGTCGGTGGAGTCGAAGTGCGACTGCAAGCTGCAAATTGAAGAACAAGGCCCCGAAGTGAAGCATGAACACTCATTCTTGACTGTATGTGACGGTACTGCAAAAGAATCCATTACTACCGTGTGACGAGCCCACCGGGCGCAGCAGAAAATGTCTTCGGGTAAGTGTCGGGAAGAATGGGAAATAACATTGCTCGGAAATACCCAGTAAAGTTAAATCTAAGTGTTGTAAGTGTTGGAGATGACCTCGCTCATCCACCAGCTCATGACTGGTCAGCCATGATTTAATTATCTGGTATCAGCGTTATCCGTATGCCAGTAACGGCTCAACGGTCATGATACGGGGTGAGGATGGCAGATCCCAGATC